ATTGGGGGTTACTACTTTGCAGCAGCCTCCCCTTGTGCTACTGCCTAAAGGCAGCAGCGTGGGATGGGGCACAGGCGGTACCGCAGAGATGGTGCTGGGAGGAACCGGCTTTTAAGCTGGCTCCCCCCAGCACTGGCTCCTGTTTCTCTCCCCTCTTCCCCCTCCCCCTCCCGCCCCTGCACACGCCTCTGATACACAGGCAGCAAGGGTGGGGAGAGGGAATGCGAGTAGTGGACTTGACTACCTGATAAGCCTAGGTTTATCTGGTAGTTGACTACCCGACTAGTCACTTGCATCACTATTTAGAACAGCAGTTGAGTTACAGTACACGTGGGTTTGCGGCGTGATTTCAAAATCCCAGGGACTCGACAGGCTCCCCCTGGAGGACGGGTGAGTGTGCCACCTTTCAACAGGGAGTTACCATTTTTCCATACTTTGCCTGCCTACTGAGAGGGTTCTCTTTCAGGATGCACAATGGGTAGTGTCAATTAACGAGAGCACTATTCCACAAACTGGGTCTGCAACTCAACCTTCAAAAGTACTCGCTGACTCCAAGTTCATAAGGGTCCACTTCAACTGTACAACTGCTGTGGCGTCACTACCTTTGGTCAGAGCGACAGTGCTCACAGGCTTGATAAGCAAGGCTCAACACAGCCCAAGGTTCTCAGCAAAACTTTGTCTCCAGCTCCTGAGATATATGGAGGTAGCTACATTTGTAGTACCACACGCTCGCCTCCACATGAGGCCATTACAAGCATGGCTCCACACTGTCTACAAGCCACATGTTTACCACACGTGAACAAATGTCTATCCACGCCAACCTATAGTGAAAGAATCCCTCTGCTAGTGGACGGAGTTGGACAGCATCTGCAAAGGAGTTCCCTTCCATCACATACCGCTGTCGATGACAGTAACCATGGATGTGTCACTACTAGGGTGGGGAGCTCACATCAGTCACCAAGTCATTCAAGGTCGGTGGTCACCAGAGGAGTCCAAACTTCACATCAACCTCTTGGAACTTGGAGTGGTTCACGATGCCTGCTACCAATTTGCCAATCTCATCCACAACAAATCAGTACACATACTTAGACAACTTGACAACAACGTTTTACATCAACCGCCAGTGCAAAACCTGATCTTATTCACTATGTTGAGAAGCAGTCCATCTGAGTGCTGCATTCCTGAAACATCACCCTCAAGGCATCTTATGTCCCAGGCAAGGACGATGTCCTGGCAGACAACTTCAGCAGGTTGTTTACTTCACTCTAAACCAGGGGTGGGCAATAATTTTTGATGGGGTGGGGATGGCTCTCCAAAAATTTGGAAAGTGGTCGAGGGCTGCACTCTTCCATGATATTAATGGAGGAAGTGCAGGGTCTGAGATGAAGGTTGGGTACAGAAGGGAGCTTGGGGTAAGGGCGGGAGTTTGGGGTGAAGGAGGCTGTTGTGACCTGGGGCACAGGTCTGGGGTGCAGAGATTTGGGTTGTGATCTGGGGCAGGGGATTGGGGTGCCAGATATGAGAGGGGATATGGGCACAGGAGGGAGCAGAGGATTTGGCTATGTGGAGTTGGGGACAGAGGGTTGGAGAAGGGAGGGGTTGGAGTGCCAGAGGCAGGCTCTGACTGGGAGACTTACCAGCTAGCAACTGTTCCTGAATCAGCATCCCTGCCTGCCCGCCCATGTTCCTTCTAAGCTGCATGGCAGCACAGCATCACAATCAACCCTACCCAGTCAGTCAGCTCCATGCACAAAGCCCTGAGTCTCTGACTGGGAGGGGCTGATTAATCACCTGTGAAGCTGTGCTGCCACGGAGCTTACAGGGAACACTGCTGCCTGCCCTGCCCCTGCACAGTTCTGCAGCCATGTGCTCTGGAGCCCTTGTGCTTCGTGGCTGCCTATTATTGAAACAGGCAGCTCTCATTGGCCAGTTTGGCCAGTTTCTGGAAAGAATGGGATTGTGCTGGATATGGGAGCAACTCCTAAAGCTTTCCCCCTTCCCTTCTAGATTCACAGTTTTTAAAGAAAACCCTTCTCTCAGCTGCGTGTCTGAGCAGCATGTGGGTGGGGCGAGGCAAGTGGGGAGCCTACCTGGGGCTCCCTGCAATGTCTGTCGGCCAGATCTGGTGGCTTGGTGGGCTGAATCTAGCCCGCGGGCTGTATTTTGCCCAGGCCTACTCTAAACCATTAATGGGAGATCAACCCAAGTATGTTGAAACTGGCATTTAAACAATGGGGATACCCCACTATAGACCTGTTTGCAAACTGCTCAAATAACAAACGCATCAAGTACTGTTTCCGAGCAGAATTCAGCCTCCAATCCCCAGGAGACGTGTTCATTATAAAGTGGGACACAGTGATGTATGCTTTTTCCCACCACTGCCCCTGCTTCACAAAGTAATTCTCAATATAAAGCAGGACAGACCCAGGGTTATCCTGACAGCTCCCAACTGGCCCACACAGGCTTGGTTCCCTTACATGCTTCAGATGATTCAGGCTCCTCTGTGGTGTTTTCCTCTGGTCTCCAGTCTCCTCACAGGATGGGGGCAAGCTTCTCCATCCCAGTATCCAGAACCTTCACCTACAAACATTGCTCATTGCTGGCTAACACCCTTAGAATCAACATGTTCAGCCCCTGTACAGGAGATTCTACTAAATCTTCATAAACCAGAAAACAAGAAAAACATACATCTATAAGTTGCATAGATTCACTCTGTAGTGTGATTTGCACATCATTTTGTCCTCGCTAGCCAGCCTGCCTGAAATTCTACAATATTTATCATCACTCAAGGACACAGGGCTCTCCTTCAGCTCTAGAACAGTGCCTCTTATGGCAATTACAGCGTTACAGCCAACAATCAACTAATTCTCTGTATTTGCACACTCCACAGTTAAACATTTTATGAAGAGACTAGAAAATACGTACCCTCTAATTAAAGTTCCAACTCCAGCCTTTGACCTGGTGCGAAGAGCACTAATGGGGAAGCCCTTCTAACCCATGGCCAGATCCTCCTTATTGCACTTACCCATGAAGGTGCCATTTTTAGTAGGTATTCCTTCAGCATGCACACCCTGATGAAAGAGCCCCCATACACTATATTCCATAACGACACGGTTGTCCTCTGCCTACTCCCTACATTTCTCCCCAAAGTACCTACCTCTTTCCACTGCAACTAGTCCATATACTTACCAGTCTTCTTTCCCAAGCTTCCAACAACAGTGAAACCATGCTTCACACCTTGAATGTCTGTGGGGCATTAGCCTTTTACCTACAAAGAACCAAACCTTTTTAGAAGACTCTCAGACTTTTTATATTTTGTTACAGAAAGATCAAAGCACATGGCCATCTCCAAACAGAGGTTATCCAAATGGATATCTGGTTGGATCTGCCTTTCATATTCTTTACTTAACCGTGAGCCCCGAACAAATATAAGGGCATGTTCTACCAGAGCAATGGCAGCTTCTACTGCATTCCTCAAAAATGTACCTCTGAGAGACATCTACAGAGTTGCCACATGGGCCTCTGTCCACACCTTTACGCAGCATTATGCCATAGACTCTTATACAGCTACTGACACCCAGTTTGGACATACTATATTGTCCATAGTACATACAGACTTACCAGAGGTCCCTCCATCAGACAAAAATACTGCTTCATAATCACCTAAGATGGAGCACCCACAGGAAGACGTCTCAAAGAAGAAGAGGGGGTTACTCTCCTTGTGCAGTAACTGATGTTCTTTGAGATGGTTGTCCCTATGGGTGCTCCATCACCCACTTTTCCTCCCTTCTGCTTCAGAACTCCTTTGTTTCTGGGCAGAGAAGCAACTAAGGGGGTCAGTTGGCTGTGCACACACAGTAGCTATTTCAAACTGCACATGCCGGCTACCTATGTGTGCAGCCTACAGAGGCACTGCTATCGTAAATCACTGACTAAAGGTGTAGAGGTGCCGAAAACACCTAAGGTAGAGCATGCACAGGGACAACCATTATGAGGAACCTCAGCTGCTGCACAAGGTGAGTTACCCTCTCTTCTGCAGTGTAGCTTTTCTCCTGGGCTGGAGCACCCAGGAGGTTATGGAAGAAATCCCTTCCCCTCACAGAGAATGACAATGGGAAAGTCAGCAAGAGCCCTCAACCTTGGTCATCCTTCATTCAAATGTGTCCACCCTATTACATTAGGCTTGCTGGAGTTCAGGGGAGTTAGTTCTCTCATTTTGGAACCCAAGGCTGAGGTTTTGAAATTGCCTGGAAAGTCACCTGAAAAAAGTGTCCAGAATTTCAAGGGGCCGAGCTTCTTGAGTGTGTGGCTGTCATGGGCCATCTGTTGAACAGAAAGAGAAGATTAAATAGGTGTGTGGGATGCAGGAAGGTCCTGGAACCCCTGAAAGAACACTAACCAAAACCCAACAAGGTCTTTGAATGGTGAGGACAGAGGAGAAGATGGATATTATGTGCAGATGTTTTTAGATTAGATTTGTATTTTTTTTGCTTTGTCTAATAAGTAAACTGTGGTTTTAGAAGTTTCTTTGAAAAGTCTGCGTATTCCATTTGGTTTAGCTGTCACAAGGTCCACAGTGAATTAAACTGTAAATAGAAATGTCCATGCGGTTGAGGGCACGGTGTTACACTACTGGGAAATCTTTGTTAGAACAGCACGGGTCCCGGGACATGGTCAACAATTTGGACCCTTGTAGTACGCTTAGGAAATTGGGTTTAAAATACATGGAATCCAAAGGTTAAATCCAATGTAGCAGCCTGGCATCTTGACCACAAGGAGCAACTTAATCATGTCTGTAATATCTATTAATTCGTTCATTGTGCCTCTTTTGTTTACCTGAAGTGGAATTTAACCCAGAAAAGGATGATAAAATCAAATTCATGCATAATTTTACCATATTACTAAACGTTTATATTTGCAACTGGTTCACTGTCTCTGGGAAAAATGTTGTATATGTTTCATAATTAACCAAGCTTCATATATGTTTGTTTTTCTTACAGCCCAACTAGAGGTGAACTTTAAGGAAATGGAAAATCATCTGTTGCATCTTGAACACCTATGTGGACAGTGTGAGCTGGAAAGGTACAAACGTATGCACATACTGCAGCTGGAAAACTATAAGAAAACAAAAAGGTAATTAAAATACAAATGTTTTGAATAAAAACACAAAAATAGCTGTAAAGTCATTCATTTATAAATTAATTCTTCTTGTAAAATGATCCTGGTGCTTTTCCTTTATCTACAATGTGGTCCATTTTGCTGTTAGTGACAAATGCAGAGTATGCATAATTATATTCTGCATACAGTGTATAATTAGTGTTTAGATGTGGGTAAAATGATACCTCTGAATTTCAGTTGTTTGCCATACACAGTAAGAATAAAGGCTGCATAAGAAAACATTCAATTAACTGTCATTTTAAAAAAAGTTCTTGGTTTTTATCCCATACTTGTATTGCTCATACAAAGCAGAGACTGTTTTTTTCTTCCTATCCTTCTTCCATCTCTGCCTTTAATAAATATTCTTCCAAATTGGATATTGCTGATACCACTATTCACTTATCACTGTTTTACATTGACTGTCCTAGAGAGTCTCAAAAGTTAGCCATGTTACTCTGTAACTTTAAAAACAAGTAGTCCTGTGACACCTTAGAGACTAGCAAAAATATATAGAATCATTGTGCTTTTGTGGGTAAAACCCACTTTATCCTGGTTTCTGTTGTTTCCAGTCCAATTCATCTGATATAGAGCAGAAGTAGTACCTATCAATTATAGGACCTGTGTTAATGAGACTGTTGACAGGTACTTCTGGTGTGGTGTGGGAGGGGGCAGGAGAAGGCGGGGGACTTTGTGTGTGTTTCTGTTATTTCCACTCTAGTTCATCTGATGAAGTCAGTTTTACCCACAAAAACTCATGATTCTATATATTTTGTTAGTCTCTAAAGTGCCACAAGACTATTCAGAGTCCTATAGACCCGCGTTTCTCAAACTATGGGTCCCAACTCCCCGGGGGGTCACGAGCAACTGGGGGGGGGGGGGGGGAGAACCCCAGCTATAGACTTACACTTGCAGCATTAAGAGTGTGCAGAGTCTTAACAACAACAGAAACCCATTAGAAATGGACTAATTTCTTTCTTGGTCTTTGTGTCTTTTCAAGTGAGCATCTAAAAAGTCTATTTAAACATGAAAACAACCTTATCATAACTTAAAGCAAGATAAGGGTTTGGTTGTTCCAGGAAAACAGGATATGCCTAAAATGTGATTGCTCTTCATAAAACCAAACAGGAAACGGACAGAATTACCAGATCAAGTGCAGTCCTCAAAACTGACATAACTGAGTAAATGTTGAAAGAGACTGAGTCAACATGAGCCAGAAACATAGAATGAACCTGGAATAGGATTGCTTCTCAATAAACCTTACAGAAAAGAGATTAAACAGAGAAATTTGGAGCACAGTTCTGTTTTGTCACAGCTAAATCAATGCTCAGGGTTTGAAAAATAGAAGACAATGTTATTGGAAACCACTTGATAGTATTCCTTTTTTGATAAAAACATTGTAAATGATGAAACAAAAAGCAGGACTATGTAGCACTTTAAAGACTAACAAGATGGTTTATTAGGTGATGAGCTTTCGTGGGCAAGACCCGCTTCTTCAGATCAAATAGTGGAAGAAAATTGTCACAACCATATATACCAAAGGATACAATTTAAAAAAATGAACACACATGAAAAGGACAAATCAAATTTCAGAACAGATGGGGGAGGGGGAGAAGGTAAATGTCTGTGAGCTAATGATATTAGAGGTGATAATTGGGGAAGCTGTCTTTGTAATGGGTAAGGTAATTAGATTCTTTGTTCAAACCTAAGCGTAAAGTGTCAAATTTAAGCATGAATGAGAGTTCAGAGGATTCTCTTTCAAGTGCAGTCTTGAAAGGCTTTTGAAGCAGGATGCAGATAATCAAGTCGTTGAGACAATGTCCTTTCTGGTTGAAATGGCAAGAAACTGTTTTTTCTTTGTGATCCTGTCTAATACCTGTTTTGTGGGCATTGATCCTTTGGTGAAGTGTCTGAGACGTTTGTCCAATGTACATAGCAGACCGGACACTTTTGGCACATGATTGCATAAATTATATTTCTGGATGCGCAGGAATATGTGTTCCTGATCTTATAATTCACTTGGTTAGGTCTAATAATGGTATCAGCAGAGTGACTATGTGGACAAAGCTGAAAATGATGAGAGAGATGATGGAATTCCCATTTAAAAAAATACTGATAAAAATTAAATGGACATTTTAACAATCTCCTTTCATATAAAAAGAATAAAAGAATTAGTATATTTCAGTTACCCCATACAAGTACTGTAGTGCAGTATCTTTATCTGAAATTGCAACTAACAAATATAGTTATTTTTAACATAATTACACTCAAAACCAAAACAATGTAACACTTCAACCACCATTCCAGAGGACATGCTTCCATGTTAAGGTGGGTTCTGCTCATAGTTATCTAATATGGTGTGCACTGATGCATGTTCATTTTCATTATCTGAGTAAGATGACACCAATATACTGTGTGTTTTGTTGGTTTTTTTTGAGGTGGTTCACATTTATACTTTACACATGAGAGTAGTGTTCTTTTAAAACTTCTGCTGGTATGTTTCACACTTCGTCCATCTCAGGTTTTGGAAGTCACTTCAGATTAATCACACTGAGATTTAAGACTGTATTTATTTTTAGAAATCTCATATTGGTATCTTTTTTTGTTTTGTTTTTTCAAATCTGCAATGGAAATCGAATAACATATGCTGGTTTATCATCCAGGACTATCATATCATGAAATATATGTCAGAATGTGGGTAAAAACCACGGAGCAGGAGATGAGGGATGTTAAATGCAAGTAATTCATCCAATAGCCAATGCATTTTGCATCAACTGTACAATTAGCTGATAGGGTGCCTCCAGCATCAGGCTCCATGCGGCGTTTCAAAACAGCACACCACACGGAATTGGGGACCGGTGGGGAAGACCCCTGCTGATCCCAGGTTCGATGCACACTGCTGCTTTGAAACACTGCATGCAGCCTGGGGACACCCCAGCTGGCCCTGGGCTGTAAGCAGCTAGTTGACTAGTCCTTCACATCCTTACCTGCAATATCAGTCATAAATTTAATTAATGCATTTTTTTGGCACGTGTTATCAGCGTGGAAGCATGTCTTCTGGAATGGTGGTTGAAGGATGAAGGGGAATATGATTAGGGTATCTAGCTTTCATATACTTTGCAACCCCAGGTACATAGTGCCATGCAAATACTTGTTCTCACTTTTAGGTGACTTTTTTGTTTTTGAGAAATGTAGAAAAGTTCCAAAAATGGATAATTTCAAATTGGTGTTCTATTATTATTTGTGAAATTAAAACGGCAAATAATTGTGAGTAATTTTTTTAATTTGGTTTGCATTAATTAATGGAGTTACTGTTTTTAATTTACAGCCCTACATTTTTCTCTGTTGGAACCATATTGTCCATTGCATACTCAATATTTTTTATCAGCATTCTGCTTGGCACAGGTATAGTGCCGAATAGTGTCAGTCTTTAATAATTCCCAGATACGAATTAATTTAGCACACAGCTATTCAAAATCTTGTATATAAAGGAGTAGATTATTGATTCCAGTTAAGTGTATTTCTTCTTCGGAAGCATTCAGATAGTATTTTATTCAGTGTGTATGTTGACGCATCCAAGTATTTTTCAAAGAAGTTTCCTTGGAAGTCATTAATTTTGATAGGTGTTTTAAATATCAAGTTTTCTAAGCAGCCATCAATTAATTCTATAAATTGCTTAACTTGCTTTGCATGGTGTCAAGTATCAGAGGGGTAGCCGTGTTAGTCTGAATCCGCAAAAGCGACGAGGCGTCCTGTGGCACCTTATAGACTAACAGATTTATTGGAGCATAAGCTTTCGTGGGCAAAGGCCCACTTCATCAGATGCCAAAGTTGGTTAGTTTGCTAATATTAGATGATTAAATGAAGTTAGTTATTTGGTCAGTTGTAGCCAAAATGAAAAAAACTAACACCATAGATTATACCTGATGAGTGATATAGTCAATTTTTAAATGATGAGTTGCATTATGCACAATGTATGTTTTCGGAAGATTCCACTGTAATATAACATTTAGAATGGAAAGACGCAATGCTTTAGATAATTAAAATTAATTTAACTGTAATTATGGGGGAATGGTCTCATAAATAGACTTCTTTCATAGAGCAAATGTAGTCCATGCCAAACAAATGGCTTATGTTTTGCCATTGTGTGTTGAGTAACTGTTTCAAAGTTCACTACTCCAGCAAGATGCTTAAATGTTATGTTTTAATGCATTTCAGAGCCTGATTAGTTTATCAGAGCACTGCTCTCTGAAGTTTTCATTCTAATGGATAACTATTTTGTCTGTTTAGGCCCTGATCCTGCAGTTGATTCCATGTAGGCATAGGAATATACCTACATGCAACAAGCTGCAAGTTCAAGGCATAAAATAGTAATGCAATAAAATAACCAGAAATAACCATACAGAAAAACGCACAATTTTGATCACTGGTGAAATCAGGTAAAATTTAGGTGACAAGTCAGTAGCAATGCCAGGAATAAGAAAACTTCAAAGGTTTTGCTGACATTAATTTTCTATTAGAAGTTCCAGAGGTTGGGGTCTAATTTTCTTTTTAGTTCGAATGACACTTTGAAGTACTTATATAAATATATAACCACCACACACTACATACATTTGCACATTTCTCTTTAAAAATTTTTATGATCGCTTCCTAGCTTTTTTCCAAAATCAGGTGGGGCTAATGTAACACATACAATTAAATATAGTGTCACAGGAACAGAGCCAGCAAAAAGATGAAGAAAGGAGGCTATTCTTGATTAGAACAAATCTAAAATTCTAGTTTTATTGTTGGTAGAGGGATCTTTTTAGGAGCTGGACATTTAAGATTATAGAAATCTTTGGTAGAATAACTTATTGTTGGTCTTCAGACATTTAAAGAGACAAGTCCATTTAGCTAAGGGGAAAATAGCTTTAAAAATAATACATTTGAAAACTGAAATTTGTTTTCAAGTTAGATTTGTATTTGTCACAAAATATACT